AAGGATAGGTATCCTCGACACATACTAACAAAAAATACCAGCCAGAAAACGGCTTCAAGTCTCTTCAAGCGCATTTGTTGAAATCGATGATGGATTCGACGTGTTGGTGGTCGAACAAAAAGTGCCGTGCTGTCAATAAAAATATCTATTGAAATTGTACRTACTTTTGATTGCTCTCACGAACATATTATTACTATATACTTTTACTATATTATTTGACGTCGGAGAAATCCAACTCGAGAATGCGCTAAACGGATGGTTTGTTTGTCGTCAGATTATGGCAGGATATAAAGCAGATCTAAACGTATAACTAAAAGTTTTTATAGCTCGATCAGCGTTAAACAAAGATCGCAGGTGCAATTTTTCGTTTATTGTTATCCGGTTTCTATGAACTTCAGAGAAATACCTACATGGTTCATTCAGGCACAAATAATGGAGGTATTTCCACGGACATTATGTATTTCCCCGCACATTGATAATAAAACATAATAAAGCATCGGATTTCAAGTATATTTCAAGGGATAAGGGAAAAATATATATAAATATAAGTAGTAAAAAAAATAAGTAGTATATATAACTAGCTCTACACTTTATGTGTATTGAGCACTCTTTAATGGGATCAGCCACTTCCTCATACGATTAAATAGAAGTAGAATAAAGTTAAATAAAACACCAACTTGAAGCTATAATATCTCTGTTTAATTATATATATAATATATAAAAATGAAATGAAAATCCTATACGAAAATCCAACTCGAGAATCCAACTSGAAAATCCAACTCGAGAATCCAACTCGAGAACTCGAAGGATAGGCATCCTCGACTAAAAAGTGTTCACWCCGTCGTGAACATTAGTCATTTGACATTTMCGGGAAAACCCAATGCGGATAATATTTTAGTCGATTAAAAGAACCCTTAAAAAGGACCAATGGAAAACGTATTGGATCGATATAATTATGCCTAATATGTTTCTTCGAAAGGATAGGAGCCAGTAAAACAAAATTTTAATTTTGTTAAAATGTTAAAACATTTTTTGAGGTAATGACGTGTTTATTATCAACTTCAGTCATCTTCTATGAATTTTGGCCCGGTTGTAGTCGTTGTACGAAGAATGGATAAATTCAAAAGACAAAGATTCGTGTCCTTTGCCTATGTATGGCCGTGAAAACTGTTATCAGGCAGAAAAATCAAGGAATTCCGACATTTTCAGGTCAGGAGGCAGACCTAAGAATCGGAATACTAGAGAGAAACGTAGCATGTCTTGATTTAGAGCTGGTTAAAACTCGACGATCAGCGATCGTTTACATGGGCTTSCTGTGGTATATCACAATCAGTAAATGATATTGAACCCTAATGAAATTAATATTACTAAGATAACAGCGAAAGAAGATTTCCTTTAATGAAAAATAATCAAACAAGCAATGTACTCAGTAGAATTTCATAATATTGTCAAAGAAGTAATTTATCAGTGTTTGACGAGCCGTTACTTTAGAGTCGCATCCTTGGCTGTATTAAACACAGATCGATAGTCTTTCATGTTCTTCGCTTAAAATACTTCCAATCCTCTGTTTTTCCTCAGTATAAATCTGTTGACATGTCTTAGATAAGTCCTTGGTGATTGTAGAGCCTGTACTAGTATAAGTTAGCCTTTGATAAGCTAATGTTTGATGCTCGATCTTAAAAAGGTCCGACACGAGGCGACCTTTCAATCGTTGCTTAGAAACATGAATGACAGTAAGACAATAGATGTCAAAAATGAAAAGGTCCCGGATATAATTTGAAGCATACCACAGACGAAAAACGTCGGTAATTTAAGACATGGTCTTCCTTTGGAAGCCCATGTAATAAACTGAATCGACAGAATTACACCTTTCTGACATAGTTCCAAGGYCACACAAATACGTGACTGTATACCCGTCATAAATGCCATTTTATGAATTTCAGAGCAATGGCGGTAAAGAAGGAGCGAGGGGAATTCTACATTCTTACGTCGTACGAATTTTTGTCTGCGATTGCGTAGCTACATCGATTGTGAATAGTTAATGAGTATAAGAATTCCATACTGTATGACTTCTCATGAATCAACAAAAGAAGGTATATATTATATATATATAGTTTTCGTTTTCATTTATAGTTCCTGTCTTAATAAACCGTCGTGGTTTGGTCAACCTAGACGTCAAGATGGTCTATGGGCGTGGCTGGTGTTGGTCTATCTTTTTCTATCTTTTCTTGTCGTCGGAGGTGTTAATTTTGGCTTTGGAGCTATTCTTCCAGTCCTAATGAAGTCTTTCAATGAAAATCGAGAGAGGACAGGTATCACGATTAAAATCATACTGYAGATACAATCAATAAAATTACCAAGGCACAGGTGTCGATACAAATAAAGAAAAAAATGCATTATTTTTATTTTTTTGAAAACAAGTTTTAAGAAAAACTTTTGTTAAGAGTTTTTTTCTCCAAATTTTCAAGAATTCATAAGTCCTTCTAGATTCATTCAGTAGTTGACTCTAAACTTTTATTTTCAGAAGGTTTCTTTTTAAAARAAATTCTGCTCTTTTTGCATGGAGTTTGATTGACAATTTTGAAGCAAATGCAAATTTTGCAGTTATTGGGTCATCGTGTTATATTGGCAAATAAATCTACGATTTAATTATTGCTTAAGTGGGATATCCCTTACAAAGATCACAAGCGTTCCACGGTTGCTCACAAGCATTCGTTTTATATCAATTTTCTATTTGTTGACTTTTTTTCAGCACTGGTTGGATCGTTAGCCTTGGGGATAGATCTACTCTCGTGTGTCTTAACCAGCATGGTTTGTGAGAAATGCACTTGTCGAATAGCTCATGGTTTGGGTTTGATCTTAATAGCAGTTGGTTTTGCTCTCGGTTCCGTCTGCCGATCTGCAAATCTTCTGTATATTGCCTACAGTCCCCTAGTTGGGTTTGGATCATCCCTTGCRTATATRTCAGGGTATATGGCATTAAGACAATATTTTAGGAGGCGATACTCATTGGCCGTTGGAATAGCTTCCGCTGGAACAGGGGCAGGTCCTTTAGCTTTTGGTCCTGCTTTTGAGGTATTGGCAGATCGCTTTGGTTGGGAAAACACGTTCCGTGTGGTTTCAGGCACTTTTGTCTTTCTCTTCTTATTTGCTTTTATTCTGGACTCGAACGTTGAAGAATTCATTAGTAACAGAGCTAACGAAAGAAATCTTGATAATCCATCAGTGATCAACGAAAAGATCAAGCGTAGGGTTGTTTTTGGGGTCCTGGACTTGTCTGTATGGAAGTTTCCAGAATATGTTACATCTGTGGTAGCAATTACAATCGAGTGTTTCGGACAGTATACAGCGTTAATCCACATGGTGAGAATTGTCAAAATATTTAGCTTTGATAGCATTGTAGCAGTGCTTTACGAACAGTGTGTTCCAGTAATTAATTGCTCTTTTGTAATGTATACCTGAATGTCTACTTTATTGGATATCAGCCGTCTTTACTGTGCTACAATGTTTTCTGTCTCCCCTTCCTTCTTCCTTATAAGGATTTCGTAATATTAACCTGTATTTCTTGTCTTCCACCTTTTGCGATTTTCGCGATAGTACTTTCATTCGCTCTTCGTTTTGTTCCTGGTTCCTGTCTTTTCTACAAAGATTGGAAAGAATAACTGATTAAACCTGGTCTAAGGCCATTAACATAACATTATGAATATTTTTATTTCATTCTTATAGATCAAGTTCGCAGAAGAACTCTCCGTAAGGAATGCCTCTTCCCTTCTTGTGTTCTATGGTTTGACCGCAGTCATCATGCGACCGATATGTGGAAGACTTTGTGATATCAGTTTCATCAAACCAAGATACATAAACATTGTCGGTGCCATATTGTGTGGACTGTCAACGATAATTTTGGCCCATGCACAAACCTACGCTCATCTTGCCGTCGTTGCTGTGTTTTATGGTATTGGTGAAGGGGCACTTCGAGTAACTACAAACATTTTATTTATGAATACAGTAGACGTTCCTCGTAGGGGGACTGCTTACGGACAGGCGTTCATGGTTACTGCTATAACGACTTCAGCTGGTCCAACTATTTCAGGTACTTTTATGAGATAATTTACTTGACCTTAATTTTAGAGCTCTGGATCTGCTCCGATTTTACTAGAAAAATACAAGGAATGGTCGAAGATATTGGCATTAGAGTACGGGTATTGACATTCATGTTGCCTGTACGCTGATTTGACATTTAGAAAACAATGACGGAACCAGCTAATGAGAGCAGAATATGGGAATGTTGGGCGGGGTGATAAGGGTTACTAGGAAACCCCTTTTAGGATTTGAATGTTAAAGAAATTTTGGTATAATGAAGAGATTATATCTGAAAGGGACTGGTATTTGTGAATCATAACTATAGCAACTTTCATCTGAAATGTTGTCATCATGTTTTCAATCTCCCTTTATAACGGTCTGAACCCATGTTAATGAATTATGTTAATTAATATGTCTTCAGGTCTAATGGCTGACAAAATGGGAACTTATCAAGGAGCTTTCTACATGGCTGGGACCGTTACCATATTAGGAGGTTCTGTATTATGCCTTCATTTCTGCTTCTTCAAACAAAATGAAAATACTCGTCAATTAGAAACGCAAATTCATGACGGAAAAAAAATGAATGATAAAGACTCTCCAGAAAGTAGTAATTTACCCGATCATCCATCATCTTATTGTGGGCYATTGGAAATAAGAAAGGATAGCGATTACGAGATAAACGTCTTTTTAGCCTCACCACAGTAACTGTATAAAGCGAAAAAAGCCACTATTGAAACAAAATAGGCCGTTTGCATTATGACGTAACTTTACTAAAACTACCAGAGAGCCTCGCGCATTTTCATTGTTATTCAGATTTTTAATCCCCTTGGAGATTAATAAAACAATTGGCACTAATTGCATTACAAAAGGAAGTTGGCAAAGCATTCTGGTAGTTGCAGTAAATGACGCTATAATGCATATCACCTATTCGTCAAACTATATGTTCGATATATATAGTTTTGATATCATCTTCTTAGCAAAGATGTTAATGCATTTGATCAATATTTAGCACTTTGGTAACGGTTTCAACAAAGGACAATCCATAATTTAAGCACTTTAATATTTGAAACTCATTTCCAATTTTTCCACTCGAAAAAATAAATGCATGACTTAAAAAAAAACATAAAGACATTGATGAAATCTTAAATATATGTATAATCAGAGTGTGACGGTTCGAAAGAAAAACCCAAAGTAATTGCGAATGAAAAAATGATAATACAACAGTAAGTTTCACTGGAGGTATTATGATATTATTGTAAGTAATACCATGGCACTGAGGGATATTATATTATTATCCGAGGAGATCTTGTGAAAGGTGAAAGTCCCGAGGCCGGCACTTTTGTGGAAGTGCCGAGGCCTATTTTTGTAAAAGTACCGGGAATGCTCGTCAGAAACTCCAAATTGGCACCCTAAAATATTCCCAATCAAGAATGTTCACATATATATATGAGACTCCGACGAGCATCCCCGCTACTTTTACCACGGAACTACGATACTATGAAGGTAGGTTTTATCTCTTGAGCTTTCCTTTCACATCAACATCATCGTCAGGAGAGATAACTGAGAGAGTGAACTCATGTAAAGTTATGGCATACCTTTTTTTGCTTTTATAATAGCGATTTGTTTCCGTTTCTGTGCAAAGTATTTCCGTTTCCGTTGTCACTTTAGTTTTCCAGCGTGTATTCTATCCTTTGTACTATCAGTTTTTCGTACTGTCCCACGAGTATTGTGTACAAGTAAATTCGCTTAGTTTTATTTCTCTGCTCTCTTYAAGTTGTAATCGTACTGCGTATATTGCGATCAAATACATCAATTCTTGGAACTGCGAAATTGCGTTATAATTTTTGTACCTAGAAGTATCGCCTTTGGAACAGTCGCTAAGTTTTCGTCTTTTCTTATTTGCTTGTAAATCGTATCACTTTCGCTTGTGTCTTAACTAGCTTTTCCGTGTATTTGTATTGTATTTTTACTTCTGCCCGTCTGAATTATCTCCAATAAATACAGTTTATGCAGCCAGTAAAATCCGTCCATATTTGCGATAGGCGATAGGCCCCTCTTCTGATGATGTTTGGCGTCCCGCAACGAAATTTCTGAGAAATATAACCTATCATTACATTATGCTATATCCTCTCAACTAACAAAGATAAAGATAAGAAGATGAAAAAAGGTAAGAAGAAAAGAAGAATAACTTAATCAGCTAACCAACCAACTCACCTAACGAACCCTTTCGAAATCTTTTCACAAAAGTGATAGTGATGTTTTTACTGAATCGTCTTTTATGTCAAATTGTGACAAGTAGTTTTCCAGTTCAAATCATGCAGCAGTTGACAGCCTTTTTKTATTTGACAGTAGACTCGCAATAGCCAACCTATACTATAAAATTGAAAAATCTACATTTCTTCAGTAATTGACTTTTAAACCTTGYATAACTAAAGCAACAACTCCTGGGAACCATTCAATCACAGCAACATGAACTCAGAAGATGGTATCTCTGTGATGTTGCACGTGATCGGTTAACTCAATGTCAGTATTACTTTTACAGTGTTACAAAGTCCAAACTTGCGACATCTAATGCAATAATATGTTTACAGTGATCCAAACAAAACGTTTGCAAACGTTAGTCCAGGCACAAGAAATCTCTTAAAAAGCACTTGATCGACTCATTGAAAATATTTTGATCGACAATGGGGTAAGTTCTTTAGAAAATCGTTTCGTGCGATAATAACCACGACGATATTAATAATTTCAAACATTAGATGCCATTTTGTATCCAATTCAACTCGACCCAATTCAAAAAGATTTTTCATTGCTCTAAACTACTAGATTTATGACTAGGCTTAGTATTTAACTGTTGTCTATTAATTGCTATCTTCTATAGTAGCCTTAACGTTAAAACTGTTGAGTCTCTCCCGAAGATCATATAGTACACAGAAGTACTTCTTAATAAGTGGCAATAACGCAGCTTTTTGTATATACGAGACTCTCAGTGGATATAATGGATAATCTTCTTCCCTTGAGATATATTCCACTTACAATAAATGTTTGTTCAGGACACGTCGGGGTCGGGGGTTACCACATAATAAATCACAAAGCATGTGCTGTACATCCTCTGAACGAGCAGTACATAACTTTTGATGACAGGTATCGCTTTGATCCCATCGATTGAATTTTACCTTTCAAGTCAGGAAATTTAGATGTTGGGTAAAAACGAGCGTTCATGAATTTTACTCCTGCATCGGGAACAGCGGGACTAGTGATAAGAAATTTTAATTAAAAGAGCATAATCCCGACACTGGCTTCAAAGTTGTCTCGCAGTATGATTAGACAATCTCATCAAGTGACACTTTATCACCCGCCGCTGTTGACAAGCATTGCGCGCCAGCTTTCATGTCCGATCAGGAGGCTGGGTTCGAATTTTAAATTGCAAAAGTCACCAAGTTTACCTATATCATCTTGATGAGCACATCAAAATCGATAATATCCCCAAGTTTTGTGTATTTCCGATGATTATCTAAAAACTTGAAGCTGTTAAAATGTTAAAATTTACAAAAGAATGTATTGATTGTGGGGAAAGTATTCTCCACAATCTATAGATGTAAACTTGAATAAGAGCGTTTTTGAATGGCCATAATTTTTGAAATACTGACTCGATTTCATCAACTAAACTTTGCCTTTTTTATTTAGATTTGCTCTTTCAGATAATGTAGGTCACACACCGATTTGTCTAATTTTATAACTTGTACTGCTCGGGCATGAAAGCTGGCAATAACGAGCATTTTTGTCAAGCATTTTGACAGTGATCACAAGGAAAAATGTCAAGGTTTTTTTTGTGTTTGTTTTTTCAAAATCATTTTATAGTTCTTGTTTCAAGAAACCGTCGTGGTTTGGTCAACCTAGACAACAAGATGGCCCATGGGCATGGCTGGTATTGGTCTATCTATTTCTAGCATTTTTTGTGATTGGTGGCGTYAATTCTGGCTTTGGCGTTATACTTCCAGTCCTAATGAAATCTTTCAATGAAAATCGKGAGAAGACAGGTATCATGGTTAAAATTATATTAGCTATTAAACTAAGTGGCATAAGATATTTATGACGAMMTATGACGAATGACCTTAATTAGAAKTGTTCAAAATTCTGCCCTAGTTGCCGAGAACATTATTATTCTACTATATCATATCAATTTACTCTATTTTTTGTCAGCACTGGTTGGATCGTTGGCGATGGGGCTATCTCTGTTTTCKTGTGTCTTCACCAGTATAGTTTGTGAGAAATGCACATGTCGAATAGCACATGGCYTGGGTTTGATCTTAMTGGCAGTTGGTTTTGCGCTCAGTTCTGTCTGCCGTTCTGTAAATCTTCTGTATATCACCTACAGTCCCCTAGTTGGCTTAGGAATGTCRCTTGCGTTTATATCCGGGTTCATAGCAACAAGACAGTATTTTAATAAACGATATTCTTTGGCCATTGGAATAGCATCGGGTGCAACAGGAGGWGGGCCTCTAGCTTTTGGTCCAGTTTTTGAGATCGCTATACACCGTTTTGGCTGGGAAAATACTTTCCGTATTATTTCAGGCACATTTGCTTTTCTATTCYTATTTKCTTTTGTTATGGATTCGAACGTTCARGGATTAAAAAGTAACAGAACTACCAAAGAGAAACCTAAAAATGTCCTGGTAGTTAATGAAAAGATAAAACGTAAGGTTGTGCTTGGGGTCTTGGACTTGTCTGTATGGAAGTTTCCAGAATATGTTACATCTGTGGTAGCAATTACAATCGAGAGCTTTGGACTGTACACAGCGCTAATTCATATGGTGAGTTTGATCAAATATAACTGATAAAAATATCATTGCAACTTATTATCGTCGCAGTGTTGTTTTGTTGTTGTTGTTGTTGTTGTTGTTGTTTTTTATTTATTTTTTTGCGTTTTTTTTTGCGTGTGTCTGTACGTGTATGTTTGTTTTATATCCTTTTTTTTAATTCAAAGATGTTTTTTTGGATTCTTTTTGGATTTTTTTTTTCTCGCTCTCGCATCCCTTTGACCTCGAGTCCCATCCATGTAATTCCTTACCGCAAAAAGAACGACATTCGTACATTCGTATTACACAAGTAAATTAAAATCGGCAAAATTCATTGGCCTTGATCTTTATCTGATTGAACGAGGTATAATGGCATCAGGACTCAGTTCAATAATTACTGTACCACTGCCTGTCGTCTGTGTCTCCTCCGTTTTCCGGATATCTTGTATACCTGTACCTCATGTATCCGTACCCTACTCGTACATAGTCATAATCCCATGCTWCTGTTTTGTTTACTCTGTTACAGGTCAAGTTTTCGGGAGAACTATCCATAAGCAACGGATCTTCTCTCCTCGTGTTCTATGGTTTGGCTACTGTTATAATGAGGCCGATATTTGGAAGACTTTGTGATGTCAGCTTYATCAAACCAAGATACATCAATATTTTTGGTGCCACATTGTCTGGGCTTTCAACGATCCTATTGAGCTATGCACGGACCTACGCCCATCTTGTCGTCTTTGCAGTGTTTTACGGCATTGCTGACGGAGCATTACAAGTAACTACACAAATCTTGTTTATGAATACAGTGGACTTTCCCCGAAGGACATCTGGATTTGGACAAGCTTTAATGGTAACTGCGCTCACGACTTCAGCTGGTCCAGCTGTTTCAGGTATTAGAGTTGCAGGAATTATTGTTTGTGAAATCCGGGAAGCAAAGGATGGCCATTAAGCGGCTAAAATCTCTGGTCTATCACCGCCGATCCGGGGTTATATGTGATTTGATTTTGCGTCTGTTGTTCTAACGGCTTTCTTGTTCTTAAGGGCTTTTCTCCAGGTACCCTGTTTTCCTCCCTAAGTCAAAACCTAGCTGTGAGGAGTGTTGTGTGCTAAAACAGTCAGTACAGTGGTCGTGAGTGCAAGCGAGTCTGATATTGATGGTTTTCAACCATTCCCAGGAGAGAAAGTTAAACAAAAGATGTCCGCCATTGCTGGTGGACCTGACAAAAGAAAACCACCACCGTGACTGGTGACCTTTTTGTTTTGATCACTTTCATGGGAATGGTTGAAAACCATCAATATATAACAATATCCACTGCATAGGGAAACTCGGAGAAGGCTCCCAGTATCAAGGACGTAAAAAATGTATTTATGTATATTTTTTTGTTTTTTGTTTTTATTTTTAGTGTGTTCGGAAATGAAAACCGAGCAATGACAGTAATTTTAACTTCAATTGAGGCTTCAATACATTATCCCCACTAATAAGTCCCTTAGCATAGGGAATAGAGATAGGGGTAGATTGGCAGGTACAGCCATGGTCACTGTTGTACATATAAGGGCCATTGCCAACCAGAATTCAATGTTAGCGTATTTTTGATTAATATAAAATATTCATTTTAAGTCCGCTTCAACATTCATGTTTTAACATCGARTTCTTACATTCTTTCATGAAGATGATAAGGACATGATAAAAAAAAAAACAAAAAAACTCGTCACCAGGCTACTCTCAGTCATACCAAAGATAAGGGACTCGAGAGGTAAACAAAACTTGACGTCGCACCGAACTACAGAAAATAGCCAGGGAACGAGCCTAGGATTGATTTCCTTGTCAGCTAGAACATTGATTTCATTAAAAAAAATTCTGGGTATATTTTTATCAACAGGTTTGATGGCTGACAAAATGGGGACTTATAAAGGAGCCTTCTACATGGCTGGGACCGTTACCATATTAGGAGGTTCTGTATTATGCCTTCATTTCTGCTTCTTCAAACAAAAAGAACTCATCCATCAAGAGGTGCAGATTCGTAACGCTCAAACATCGGACTCAAACATTAGCGACTTTTCAGAAGCTGGGAATGTATCAGACCATCCTATATCTTATACCGGCCCAGAAATAAAAGCGAATGTTGAGTTCGAGACCACATCCTTTTGAACATGTAGCAGGTATCCTCGAAAGGCATTGTGGGTAGTGAAGAAACACTCCCAAAAATTGTTAATGACATGTTATTTATCATTTTTGTAAATAGATGCCAAAGTGCTGAATAGCTCAAAATAAGAGATTTGTATTAAAGAAACAAAGAAATGATCACGAAAAATGAGATCTGACAGGTTGTCATATTTATCTAATGTTATATAGTCGTGCTACACAACACAAATGGACTATATGTTTCATTATGTTATTGTAACGGGAGAAAATTCATCAAAATTGTTTAAGGAAACAAATCAGTTAGTTATGGTTTAAACTGGCAATATTAGGAAATTGGCAAAACATTGTGTCACGATATTTACCTAGCAGGTTAAGCTAGAGTTTTTCTAAAAGGACACCTGTTGCAAGTAATCTATAATTCACTATTTTAGTCACGATAGTAAGGATCGCTGATCTCAGCGTTAACTACCTGGAAACAAGCGTTAAGACCAGGAATCGAAAGTGATGAAAAGTTAGTTGTACCAGTTGTACGCTTTACTTAACTTTCTAGTTACAGCCAATAATCTCCTGCGTATGTTACCTCATCTTATGACATTTTTGCTATTATCAAAGTGATTGGTTTTCRAGTTTTACGCGTTATAGTTCTAGCAATCAATTATGTAATATGACCTACAAACAAAGGAGTTGTAATCACATAAATAGAGCTACAACACATTGTAAGATAARAGACCACCTAGCGAACGCTAGCACCAGTATTCAAGATTAAAGCAAGATTTAAAGCAGAATTTCTCCGTGCTCTGTGTCCAAGTCTCGTGCCGTCTCGTATGGTAAAAGTTCAGATTACGGGCCCTGCAATTCGAGTCGCTAYTACCGAAGCTAGTCCACCCCGACATTCGGTACACACGAAGTACGAACAAAATTCTTACCGTAACATTATTGTTACTAAACATGTATATAATGCTTGCAGGGGTCAAATCCAGTAAATTTGGAAAGAGAGGGCCGTCCACAAATATGGCTAGAATTTTTTTGCTTCCTTAACTCGTAAGTGCAAATGATTTCAATAAAAAACTGGCATATTGTTTGAAAGTGAAAATAATTTAATAAAAAAACGACCAAATTGTTTTGACAGTTATTTTATATTTCGATGTTTTCTTTTGCCTTTTTTTAGTTTTTTTTTTATTTTTGTTCAGCAAAAGGATGGGCCGAGGCCCCCTTTGAACTATTAAGGGGTCTTGAAGGCTAAGACCCATTTATGACACATAGCAACAGCGCCAACCAGAAATGACTCCAGAGAACAATGAGATACCTTTTTAAACATAAATTTCTCAATATTCATTGATTATTAATTAGCTAGCGAGATTTCCTGTTCGAAATACAGGGAGCCCAAGCAATGACTTTTAACCTATNGGTGAATTTGAGACGGGTCGCTAAATTAGCCAGCACTCGCTCTCAAATTCGCCCAAAAACCGTTTTTAAGTGATTTTTCGAGTCATTTGCTGCCACAGAAGCCCCTAGGACTGCATTATAAAGCTCGACTAGGCGGCAGAGACACTCTTCTGGAAGAAATCAGAGGCGGGAAGCGATTTTTCGAAGACAATGTCGTCGATACGAAGTTAGCTTTGAATTGCCGATGTTAGAGAAAGGTCGCCTCCCTAGTCGTTCTGTGGCAGATTTCAGAACCTTCCAAGGTAAAATTGGCAAGTTTTAACATCCAAAGAATGCAATCGGTGCAATATTTTGCCTGTAGGTGCGAGTGGCTTGGCACTATGAAAACAGGAATGTCGGTTGCTCCCTGGCGAGTTTGAACCAGACTCCCATGATGCACATCGGCCGCGTAATTGACTAATCTAGGTTTGCTGTGCTTGGTGTCGAAAAGGGGGCTGTGGCTAGATCTGCAGAGACTTCTACAAAACAAAAATGCAAAAACRCTAAAGACCTGGAATGGCCAATTTCAAAAAACGTAGAATTTCGATTTACAAAAGATGAAAAGACGTGATTCCCAGTCTTGTCGGTGTACCAAATAGTCGAAATCTGGGCATTCCTATTTTTCAGGGGTCCATTTTGCCCAATTATCGCGCTTTTTGTGAAATCTTTTTAACTCTACGATAGAGTTATATTACTAGCTGCTGTCATGGAGTACATTTGGTGGTCTACTTTTGCGATCTCGGAAACTTGTAATTTTTAGAAGTATCGTTCCTGCAGGAACGATAATCCCTAAAGCGGACGTTAAAGGCAATTTCGGGTGAAATGTATACCCTGTTTAAGACAGCAAGGCCAAAAACCATACCCTGGCCAGCGGCACGTCCCCGTATAGCAAATATATGGGAGTACCCCCCGGGGTACAGCCATCACAGGGCAGTTAAGGCATGGCTCTCAGAAAAAATAGCGAATATTCACCAAATTTATTCTAAAAATTTGGTCTTTTAATAGATTTCCATCAAACTTGGCAAGTGTCTCCAATTTGATAAGTACTACATTTTTTGGAATTTTGTTGCCATGGAAACGAGATCACGTGACACCAGAGCGGCCATCTTGGATTTTTCTTTTGAGGCTCTTGAAAAATATCACAGACTCAATCAAAACAAGTGAAAATCCACAATCTAATAGTTACTATCACTTATTGTTGTACATATAAGGGCCATTGCCAACCAGAATTCAATGTTAGCGTATTTTGATTAATATGAAA